GATGAGAACGGGGCAGATCTTTAGGATGCTGGAACCATGCTGTGAATTGGTATTGGTTGTCTTTGATTTGTAGAGGGAATTCTAAGGGCATTTTTCTAGCGGTAGTAAGGAAGTGTGATAGAAAAGATCAAGAAGCATGTAGGGTAGAGAGTGGGAAGTTGACAGTTTGTATATGGATCTCTGTTAGGGTTTTGATGGTGGTAAAGACAGACGTGTGTCTCTTCTATTTAGTGAAAAAAAAGCGTTGCGCTGAGGAAAAATTGTTTTAATTCAAAGTTTGCAGACCTTTGGTTTCCATTAGTTATTTCTAAGGTAATTAAGATGACCTCAACTGACAAAGAAAGTCAAGTTCGTATATGTTGTATAGTCTTTGTCATACTCTCAAGATTTAGCAGATATTTTTCTTCAGTGATTTTTATGGCACTATCGTAAATCTACTGAAAATTCTCTTAAGAACAGTTAATTCTGCTATAAGTGAGGGTGCTCTGTCATGATGATATCTGCCTGTCTTATTCATATCACTTGCAGGAATGATTTAATTTGGCGATGTGTCAAAGCACAGTCTGTTTCCTAAATACTTAAATGTTTTTTCACTTCAGCTGCTTATTCTCCCTCTTATTACTCCCACTGCCTCCACACTTCTCCCTGCTCTGCCTTCCTCTGTTGTTCTTGAGGTTGTATTAGTTCCAATTTTGGACTCTCACATTATTAACCTGAAATATGATTTACAACTGTGTATATTTGCTGTTAGTATCTTAGAGGGAAATAAATTGTTGACTAGCATGGATTTTTAGATGAAGTTGGTTTTCAGTAGGTGGGCTTGCAGCCTAACATGCAAACCAGTCTGTTTACGTCTTGTTCCCTTTTCTTACTGTGAGATATGAAGGAACCATGGCGTCTGGAAAGTCCTTGCTTCCATTTCTAAGTGGCAAATATAGTTGGACAATTATTTAAGACACACTTGAATGATATTAGATTGTTGAAGATATGATAAGGACAACTATTAATATGTATTTATTTTTAGAAAGGTAAAATTTACTTGGTTATGATTTAGAGGTTCAGAACAGAACTGGGTTAACAATCAGAGGTTTAAGCTTGTATCATCAAACTGAAGTATAATAGTAAGGGGTTGGTGTGGTTTCACTGGCAATGACTAGCAAACTCTCAATACCATAAACGCAGTTGTGGCTCAAGTATGATTTTTTCTTTTTTTTTTTTTTCCCAAGAAATTTACTTTTTTGATTGCTTTGAAATCCTTTAGCCACCATAGAAGAGTTATTTTGGTAGCAGAATAGCTGTTACTGTCTGTACCTTCCCTGAGCACAGGTGGCAATGCTAGGCAACAGATTAATCTTTGTGGTAAGTGTAGGAAACTCTTTTCATCTTTGGCCAACCCATATTTCTCTTGTAATTGATGAAGTACACTTTCAGTCTTGATAGTTATTATCTAAAAATGTAATTTAAACTCAAGCTATTTTTGTTCATTACTAGACAAATATATTGTTCAGCTGTTAAATTCAATACGTAATAATTTTAGTCCGTAATTCCATTGAGAAGTATCCATGAGACCTGCATTTCTGAGTCTCAGTAATAGAAATTTAATCCGTTTTTTGATGTACACTTAAAAAAAAAAAAAAGGCAGCAGAGGAAATGCCTCAAAAGAATGGCAATGTCTGGAAAACATAGCTTTTAGAGAGACTGAGCAAAGAATAGAGAGGTGATGTGTTTGTGGCTCATGAGTTTGTGTGGGAAACTTTTTAATCTAATTCAATAAAAACAATGTCAGGAAGGTGGAGGTTGAGGATCAGATGAATAATAAAATGCAGAACACTTACTAGTGAGGATAATTCCCCTCTAGTAGGGGGAATGATTTGCCCAGGGACGTTGTGGAATTTGCATCATTTTGAGCCTGTCAGCGCTGCTGCCTGTAAGTTCTGTTTCAGTTGCACTATATTTTTAGAAAGCTGTTTGAAGCTTTTTTGATCAGTGTGGTGGGAGGCTAGACCTGATGTTCTTAATATTCTTTTTTGAGTCGTAAAACCTTTTTCTTCCCCAGCAAGCCCTGCTTTGCTTTCATGCATTCAAAGCTAGCTACAGCCCGCAAATTAGTGGGATTGTGAAATATGTGCCTCCCAGGGCAGGGGGAGGGGTGGGCTAGATGATCTTTACAGGTCTCTTTTGACCCAAAGCATTCTGTGTAATTCTGTGAATTTCCTCAAATTTACCAATACTGTATTCCTCTCTAAGTGTGTTAAGTAGTTGAGCTTAATAGTACATCTCACCAGAGGTGCCATCTTTCATATAAGCTGGACAGCAACAGTTATAGTATCTTGAATATAAATCAGGTTAAAAGACCTATAAGGCTGGTAAGTTTGTCTCTCAAAAGTAAGGAAACAGGAAAATGTCCCCACAAAAACAGGGCAACCTCTCCCTGCTGTACACTTGCATCAAGCCTTTGTTTCAAAGTTGAGATCTACAGCTTCTTAGCAAAGCAAGGGTAAGAATTTCAATGTAAGCTAGATTATTTCTTCTAACCCCAGGTTTGGAAGTAACCGAGCTGTTGCAGGTGAAAAGGTTGGGGGGAACAAGGGGGAGAAGAAACTAGGGAAACCCTAGGCTTTTTTTCTAGCATTGCCAAACTGAGGTACTGCTACACTAGAAATTCCCAAAATTACAAATGTATGTGATAATAAGAAATGTTTGGCAACCGTGAGTGTAGATAATGCTACCAGCTCTATAAGCAGTCATCTGTCAGTTAGTATGGAAAAGGACTATGGATTTTTTTGCTTTTGTAACTAAGGTGGTTTTAAGTGTTGGCTGTGAAGAAGGCTGGCTCGGGTTGTTTTGTGTTTGGTTTGAATGTCTCTACTGACACGGGGACTCCTCAGTAGTCAGCTATCACAAATATTTGCAGTATGCTGCCTCCCATTTCTACATTGCTCCATTCATGAATTAGTATAAAATTTATGGATCTACTAAGATTATTTGCATGTAAATCATGAAGTATCTGCATTGGAGAAGCCATCTATTAGGTTGGGGGGATGTTAATCATTGCTTTTAATTTCTTTGATATGAGGTTCTCTTGACCTGACTACTACTAAAATCCATAGGGAAATTGTATTGCTTGCATAAATTGACTTGGGTTGGTTACAAGTGACTTTTATTGGCATGACCACAGTTCTTTTTCAGTTGGTGTCCCTCCCCTCCAGGTGCTTATGTGGTAAGGGACTTTACGATCCAGGAAGTCTGTCATGTCCAATAAATCATTTTTGTTACTTGTTTTTGGTTTTTTCAGTTGCTGAGCATTCCTACAGGGGCATACCAGATAGTTTGTAAGAGAAATGGAGGCATTCAGAAGAATTAGTGAATTAAGTAGGTCTGTGTTGTCTTTTTTTTTTTTTTTTTTTTTTTTTTTTTTTGAAACAAAGACACATTACTGGGGGGAGGAGAGGATGTGTTATGTGTAAACTATATATACTCCGCTTGTTTTCCTTTGCCTGAGACTGCTGCCTAAGCTTTTCTTGTTCTGCCTGACAATACTCCTTTCACTTGATTTTTTTTTCTGATTCATTATTTGTGTTGTGATTTGGCCAGTGTAAGCTGCCAGTGGGTGGGTGTTACATCCTGTTGCTTGCTTAGCGTAGTCCGGATCGCAAGGTTAAGATACCTGGCTTCTGTTGAAATGAAAGGGAAGTGATCGTCATCTCTGACAGGCTCTGAGGCATATCGCTGACAGTAAGGTTGAAAGGCTGTATATTAAAGCATACGTACCTGCTTGCCTTTCTATTTCCTGTTCAGTTTTCATACCCCAGCAGGGAAAACAACAAGTATTTGTTTAGCTAGTCAATTATTCTTTTATCTTCAATCAGGAATAGTATGCCTGAATGTTTGCTGTCCTTGATGGATGTGTGAGGGCTTGAAGGTATTTTTTCAGCCTGACTGGTATTTAGATCTGTGGAAGTGCTTTATTGAGATTGAGACCCTGTGTTCATGGCGGGTTATGGAAGGCAAAATCAACAGAACTTGTTTCAACCCTGTGTTGCAGTGCTTTAAATATCTAAGTACAGCTATGCTACGAATACTAGTTTATTGAGCTAGAAGAGTGTGCTATAGCTTTGATGGAAAAGGTGAAGATTTGGTTAGAATTTCCGTGATTCTTTTTTCTGAGGAATGGAGAGTAAGAAATTATATGAAACCTGAAGGTTCACACTTAACAAAATAACTTGCCTTGTTCTTCAAAGTCCCTCTTTCCACATCTCTCCTGTTCCTTGTATATAAGCCTTCCCTTTGGGCACAATCAGCAGGTTGCATTTTAATCAGAAACTGAGATAAATAATAGCCGAACATAATATATAGTAATTATTTTTCAGATTTTTAATGTGTGCTAATTTGTTAACAAAATCTTTATGATAGTAAATATCTGTATACAGAAGATAGTGTTAAAACTGTAAAGCTTAATGCTTTTCTGCATCTGTGGAAGGAGAAAAGATTCTGTATACTGTCTAGAGATAAACATTTGTGATTTTCTTAGAACAGAAACACTTCTGAGTTGTACGTTGGTTTTTCCCTTTCATAAAGCTATTATTATATCTGACTGCCAAGAACTTATTGATGATAATTTCCCTGTCATCAGTAGTCACTTTTAAACTTGAGTAAGTGTCTGTAGAGACAGACTTGATATGACACAGCAAATAACTACGCATGGAGTCTCTGAGCCGACAGTGATTACAGCCAGCTAACCTTTCTTCTTCTGACTGAGCTTACCAACCGATACATCTAAAAATCTGATAGGCAAAATTCATTAATCAGCTAGATTGGCCTGCTGGAAATTTTTCTGGATGCTGTTAGCATAGGAATTACTGTGTTTGCAGGGGTTAATAGATGGAATCTGATGCAATCCCTCCCACTTTTCCCAGCAGTTTTCATTAGACAAGTGCTCCATAGCAACAGTGAGATCACTGGAGACAGTATTTCATTGATTTCTCCCTCCCGCCCCCTTCCATTTTTGAGCCATTCTTATCACTGAAGTGCAGCTGGGTGAAAAGGCAGGGCTTTTTATGCAGAACACTTATGTGGGCTTCTGTCTTGTAAATAATTTGGAAAGCAGAAATCCCTTAGATCTTTAGTGTTTAATGTTTCACTATGTATTTAAAGAGAGATACAGGCTTAGGAGGCTGGATAACTGTACCTGCTGTAGCTGATGTTCTTAAGTATTCTTGCATTGTTTGCTGGTCTTCTAGGGAAAAGAATAATGTAGAGCAAGACCTGAAGGAGAAAGAAGATACCATCAAGCAGAGGACAAGTGAGGTCCAGGTAAATAAGACACAGAATTATTGTTCAGACACCTGATATTGCACCATGTGGTGCTTTAATGGTAGTGGGATTACGGAGTCTTTAGATCACATCACTTATTCAGTGATGTGATCATCACTACGAAACGAAAAAAATCTGTGGCTAAAAAAAGAATGTACTTTGAAGTGCATTTTCTGTGTGAATGTGGGTTGGTGTGGGTGTATATATTTATATGAATGTGGGAACTTCTAGGATATGTAGTCTGCATTGAGTCTTAAATGAAAAATATGACAAAATAATAGGTCTCATTTATTTTTGTTTCTTAGGCAATTTAATGTATAATTAAAACTAGATAAGCCACTGTAGCACTGCAAATTAATAAACTCAAGTGGCTGAATTAAAAGGGCTTGTATATGGGGCTGCTTCTTAAGAATCGCAGTAATTACCAGCTTGGGAGGAATGTTGCCTGAAGTTAATTTTGCCTAATATAAGTGAATTTTTAAAATAATCTGTTTGATTTTTATTTAAAAAGGATAACATTGAATTTCCAGAATATTGGAAAATTTAAATTTTACAGGTGTTTTACAGGGATTAACAGTTATACAGTCAGCATCAGTGTTCAGGGCGCTAACAGTCTAGTGAAGCCCTGAATTAAATGCTGCAAAGCAATATTTCAATTAAATTTTAAGCCGCAAAAGCAGATGGAGTTGCTGTTTAAGAAAAAACTTCAGTGTGATATTTAATCACTTACATTTATTTCTACATTTGTTTTAGGAATCTTTATTATTCCAAATAATCTTTATTTTATTAAAAGCAAATAATGCAAGATTTCTGCATTTTACTTTGTGCTGGGCAGAAAAAGAGTCAACGTGTTACAACTGTTGTGCTTGGCTATTTAACATCCTTAAAGCCTGGATGATAATTAATAGTCTGACCTTTCAGAAGATAATCAGATGCTGCACTGTTAGTCACGATGGCAGCCAGATTCAGCAGCTGCAGGAATG